ATATTAACTATTGAAAACAACATGTATACCACCGACCTTCTTCGAGTAGTTTTCGATGCTTATCTGGTGAAGCAAATCTTAGGTACACCTTGATAAGGTGTATAGGTCTAAGTGATTGCCGGGGTCCAGCACAGTACCATTGACCAGACAATGTACAGCCCAGAGTGGGTTACAAACGTTGTTTCCGTCGTTCTGTGCCCTGAGTGCCTGGGCACGCTTCTTTGAAGAAGGAATGATGACATGAAGATCATTCCTTATAGGTGTTGTAATCTCCGTCCGATAAGTTGTCACAGTATGTCAATGAAGTGGATAGACAACCCTTTTTTTTAAATAAAAATATAAATAAAATCTCATGGTGTTTGGCATGTTTGTCTGGGACGTGCACTTTTGTTATAAGCATTTCGATCCGATGTGTACGCCCGCCTTTCATAAGGAACACCCTCTAACTCTACGCAAAAGTAGTCATAACACACAACCACCCACGAAGTGAATGTCCTGCCATAGATACACCTGTCAGCATGAGTGTCTGCCGAATGGTTACAACCCACCTCAAGCTGAGCACTGGTTTCATCCGCGAGTATGTAGTCACAACTCTGGTCCACACGGTGCACCACGGACCCTCCCGCACACGTGATCAATCTACTCCAGGATTTCTATGATCGAATGATGAGAACACATGCGGTGCGGCTCATGGCCAATCATTACATACAACAACCGGTAGTAGTATTACGTTAAACGGAAGTAGGGGCTTCTATAGTGATGATCAGAACGTATACATAGTATTACGTTAAACGGCAGTACTGGCTTCTATAGTGATGATCAGAACGTATACGTTTAGCGCCTTGAAATAACTAAGACTATGCCTATAATGATGATGGATAGTACGTGCTTCACAGTTAACAAGCGGGCTTCTATAGTGATGATCAGAACGTATACATTTAGCACCTTGAAATAACTAAGACTATGGCTCTAGTGATGATGGATAGTACGTGTTTCACAGTTAACAAGTGATACTTGCTGCTCGTTCATACCAGCGCGAGAGCCGTAGCAGCGTCACATTACCGGGAGTAGTAAGTTACTCTCGGATAGGTCATTCCTTTAGAGTACATTCTCGCTTGAGCTGCAATTGGTGAACTGGCCCCAAACAACACGTGACACACGACGTATATCACTTGTGTACATACCCTCAAAGCAGTGGTCCAAGCACACATTGGCTGGTATAAGCACCTTTTTTGGTACAAGTCCACTTTGCAGACCTTCGTTCAGGCCTTTATACCAATCATGCTGATGTCAATGCGACCAATCATTGCAAAGCAATGACCAATGCTTAACGTACACCCTACCTTGAATGGCTTTGTCCCTCCTACTAGCACAGCAAGATTTTCAAAAACTCGGTGGCGTCTCATATGTATAGGTGTACTCGGAGTTGGTGCCAACTCCATCACACGGTCGGGTATATGTCCTGGCGGCAGCTCATAGCCCTCGGTGCTGAGCAGATAGTTTTCCTCGAGGCACGCGTCAATCCATGCGAACTTCACGCACCGTAGATCTAAGAGGACACACAAGCACACAAGAGCAAGAGAAAAGAAAAGAGGCACTGTACGTTGAGCTGAGATTGATGAGAAAGGTTGCAAATCATTTTGGATTGCGCATACGAGAGGCCGCATGCATGAGGTGGCGTTTCGGGTGGGATGGGAAGGACGTCACTATCGCACAACACCACTGTTGTCTGTATTGAGACTATGCAACAGAGATAGGCTCCGTATTCGACAAGGCACAGACATTCATCCCCTTCATTGCACCAAGCACACCAAACACGGGTGTGAAGGCGTTCTGGTGGATAGTCGGCGGGGGCCCCCCTGGACTTACTTCTGGCCACTGCCTCCAAGTACTTGACGGACATCGTGGGGTTGTGGGCCAGAAGATACACACAGTTCAACCAGCAGTCGTCCGTCAGATCACTGAAGCTCCGGAACACAGTACCCCCGTGCTCCTCTATTAGCATGGCCGTGACCTTGTTCATAGCAATGGCGGGGTGTGAGATCACAAAGCCCACCCCAGCAAAGACCTCTTCCTGATCTGTGAGGGATGGAATGAGCGTATGCGTACGGGAGGGATGTATGCGCGATGGTGAGCATCTGTGGGTAGCTATGTAGCTGTTTGCTGACATGAAAGTGTGGCCTGCTTGCGATGCGTCATAGCAGGGAAGTGATCTACCGTGGATGTTGCTGGCTGTCCTATCGCGTGCGAGCTTGCTGTGTCTGGAGAAGCGGGGTGCGGATGGAACAAGCACGCACGTCACAGTCGGTGGTTATTGCATTGATCCACACAGTCGGTGTCCATTGCCTTATCCCACTCCGTCAACATATATCGAATGCTGTGTGGTGCATACAGTGTACTAGCCTGCAATTGTACACATCAGGTGTATCAATACCACACACACACACACACACACACACACACACACACACACATATATATATATATATATATATATATACATCAGGTGTATCAATACGCCCTGGATCAACTGTGTGTGCAACCTACTTTTGAGAGAGGGCGATATCGATCTGAGTCGCAACTCAGCCTGCA